GTATTTACAATAAAATTAAGTAACAGAAAAAAACAAAGTGATATATTTACCTAATAATTGACAAAATTGTTCCTACTTGGTTTATGAATATAAAAAAATATGAAAAAATATAAAAACAAATTTTCATAAGGTAGCCAGCCAACTTATATATTTATATATAAAAAAAACGCCGCCAGCTTCTCGTTTGCCTCCACTTTTAATAAAATATTTTACCTAACGGTTTGTTTTGGTTAATAGTAGAATAGTAGGTATTGAAATATACGGTGTGAGAGCCAAATTTTACAGTGATTCCTGGCCTCGGTTGCTTCATACGACGAGCCGCCACTGCCTGAACGTATTGTCAGTTGTCTTATACCCTGAAGAAAACTTGTTGTTATTATTTCTAACTTGCTTAGATTTTCTAAAATGCTGGACAAAAAATTGCTCGTATAAGCCTCCTCCTTAAATTTTACCATTTTCATTGTGTACCATATGTTTCATACAACGGATATAAATCTGACATCTGGAGTACCCCAAGGATCAAGTTTAGGACCAATGTTTTTTAATTTATTTATTAACGATTTATTTCTGTCTCTAATATATAATCATCTATGTTTGCCGACGACCTGAAGCTGTTTATGAACGCATCTAATTAGGAAGATTGTTAAATACTGTAAGAACTGGTAGATCATGTAAATATTGTAAATAGATGGTGTCTACTTCTAAAAGAGAACCGCTAATATTTAACTACACCTTTGATGATGGTTACTGGTACATTGTGATAATGTTAAGGATCAAAGTGTGATATGTGACAAAAGACAAAGAAAAAATCAATAGCGAGCCGGAAGAATATAATAATAATGAAGGTTGCATGGGAAATTATGATGGTTTCACGCAACTGAAACATCCAAACAAAAATCTGTCTATAATTAATTTCTAAGAAAAGATACACAAATTTTAAACAGAATCGATTGCGTGAGGATTGCTTTACAACTAACAATGCTCTCTATCTATTACGTTTATAGCACATTTTACATGAAAATGTATTCAATGATATCCATTTTCCACTTCTGCCAATCTGGCGTTTATACATTAATTTATTTCAATTAGATCTGATCCAGACGAACGAGACACTCAAATCAATCACCGAAATCAGAAGTGGGATTTCCGCAACCAAATCGCTCGCGTCCAGAGCAAGAAAGAACAAGCGAAAAAGGGAGAAACAACCCGAATCGCACACACAATGCCAGTCTAGTGCAACCCACTAATTATCCAGGCTAAAAATGCATAAAACGTCTGAAAGCGCCACTACTTGAATGTAACGCGGTGATCCGCCGATTGGGCGCGTTGCCGTCGCCCCTTCTTATTGGCCGAGCCGTGTGACGCCTTCCAATGGCTGCCAGACGCCTCGTAGATGAATGAAGTCCAACTTGCGGACTACAATACGCGCCGGAATCATGATAACTGAGCAGGTGTCAATCTTCGGCGGGCGAATGTGTTGCACAAGCGTACGGTGAAAGGAAACTTAATTAATATGTGATTGTAAATGGCTGTGAAGGTGCCGGGAACTCGAACGGGGAAAGGAAGACTGTAATTATAATTATGAATACATGCTGCTGTACAAATTGCTTAAATGCCCACTTAGGTAGTTTAGAAATATTTTATTAATGATGTTTTCTTTTAATGTTTAAGGATTAAGGCAGTTTATAGTGCCTTCTTATATTCAAAATGAAATTAGATCCATCAGGAAAGGATCAATGATCGTCAATACAGATGATGCGATTAGATAACGGGTTATCCATTTTCTCCTTGGGAAAGTAAAGTTTAAAAAAAAACACATTGAATATTTAAATTTCGATGGAACTTTTATTTCATAATAAAGTTTGGACTATGCCATTATGCGTGAAAAACAATATCATTCAAATGTACTCCACGGAACCGTTTGCAGGATTCAAACTTTTTGAGGTAATTTTCGAAAACTTTTTCACACAATTCGGGCAATAATTCGGCCATAACTTGATATATCTCGTCCTTCAATTACTCCAAAGTTGTGGGATTGTTCGCTTAACCACGGTCTTTCGCATAGCCCCACAAAGAGAAATCCAAAGGCGTTAAATCGTAGGATTTTGGTGGCCAAGCTACATCGCCGAAACTCGAAATTACGCGTCCTGGGAATTTCTCGCGCAATAGAGTCATAATTGGCCGCGTTGTGTGGCATGTGGCCCCATTTTGTTGAAACCACATATCGTCCAGATCAAAATCTTCAATTTCAGGCTAAAAAAAGTCGATGATCATGGCGTCACAATGTGCCGTATGATAAGCCCAAATGCTGAGCTCGACTTGAAGTCGAAAGATTCGGGTCATCGTTAACACTTTCATTCACAGCGGCTATGTTAACCCGATAAATGTTTATCCTTTTCCTGAAATGCCAATATAGTTTATAGTTTTAAAATAGCTTCGAAATTGCCGCCACCTTTTTCGCGTTGAGTACCTAATACGATGCAATTAACTATGTTGTTGAAAATATGAATCACCATAAATATATTTTTTTTACTGTTGAAGGTTTCTTCACTATTATACATAAGTTTAATAAAATTACTAGAGTATAATAAAATAACACACCAAATTTCATTAAAATCGGTTAAATTGTTTACGCAAAATATTTTTTTGAAATAAATTTTGAAAAAAAATTTCGAATTTTCAAAATGTTGCAGAGCCTCAAATAAAGCATCTAGATACTTGAAAATTTTTTCACATAGAAAAAACCCCTCAACCTTGGTTTTTGAAAAATTGAAATCGGTTGATTAGGAGGGCCACAGTAAATTTTAAATTTTTTTTATTTTTAAACAATTAGATTACATTTATCAATTTGCAATTTAGTTTTTTTCAAAAATATTAATTTTAAAGTACTCGAAAAGACGCTTCTTCTTTTTAAAAAAAACTTAAATTCCATTTATTGATTCTCGAGATATAAGCGGTCAAATTTTATTGGCATTTACTGTTAATTAATAAACAATTTAGCAATAATCTTTGATCCAGTGGCTTCGTTTTTCAGAGTTCTAAGCTGGAAAAAATTTTCATATCCATAAGTTATCGGCAACATAGATAAATCAGCGGAAAAGCTGTCGCTCGCACGCGCGAAAAGTGACTCAAAACACGAAAAGTGGGGAGAGGGCTTCGCTCCGAGACTGAATTCGGTTTAAAATGTGGGGGTACGAAAAAATTGCATTATCTCGGCTTCTAATGGACCAATTTTTTTCAATGAAAAAAAAAAATTATTTGAATATATTTTTTTTTTGTTAAATACAGATAAAATTAAGAAAAAAATAGTAGGTAGGTACTTTAAAATTATAATTTTTGACAAAAACTAAATTGCAAATTGATAAATGTAATCTAATCGTTTAAAAATAAAAAAGAAGAGCGTTAACTTTAAAAATTTACCGAATTCAATTTTTCAAAAACCATTTTGTAGGTTGAGCGGTATTTTCTATGTGAAAAAATTTTCAAGTATCTAGATGCTTTATTTGAGGCTGTGCAAATTTTGGAAATTCGAATTTTTTTTTAATTTTGTTCACAAAATTATTTTGCGAATTTGGTGTGTTGTTTTATTATACCCTAAAGTTTTTTTTTACCAAAATTAGAATGCCCTCGGAGCAATTAAAATATTTTAAAAAAATTATTAAAAAAACTTGATTATTTTACCTTTTTTTCATCAATTATTGCTATTTTTCAACATTAGTAATACGTTTAAACATTTTTAACTTTCAGTATATTGTTCAAAATTTATTTATTATTTTCCTCTTCAATATTCTTTCAAAATGCATAGGTTCCAAGATATAAGTAAAACAATTTTTTAAACATTTTTGCAATTTTGAAAATTTTTCGGACCTTGTCTTGATCTAGGGATCTACACTTTTATTATGTGAATTGTACTGAAGGTAATCCAGAAAAAATTTGCTTGCCACTCTCACATCCACCTCAAAATAGATCCGCCCTGGTCTACTATAGCAACACTACTTTTCGTCTCTAATATTCTGTCGAGAACAAAACTAACATACCTACAATTAAAAAGTTAATTTGCTACTGTAGCAATACAGTTCACTTGATTTAATTGTATATCTGAAATAAGTATTTGCTACAGTTGAAACATTGAATTATCACAGCATTCCGGTCTATTTACCGTTAATGTACAGTCCAATTACCTTTAATGCATCAAAATTGCATTTAGCTGAAAGTTTCATTAACCGTAGCAACATAGTTTAATTACTACAGCAAGAAATTTTAATCAGAGTTAGTAGCCATTGTTAGATGACCTGTGTTCACTTGTGACTAGCAACTGACTACCAGGAATGTTGTATTCTAGCTAACTTTTTTCTCAGTGTATCTAAATATATTTACTGAAACCAAAAATCACTTAGGAATTTTATTTTTGTTATAAATCTAGATACATAGGCTCAAAACCCCAGTATAGTGGATAATATTTTTATACAGACTTAAATTTTTAAATGTATTAGTTTTCGTTTCAAATTAAAAATCTAGAAGGCTTTGGCGATGCCTGCAGATGAAAAATTGACCAATTACTGACATTGCCGATTGCAATAATTGTCTAAATAATAGAGTTTGCTTAGTAATTTACATAATTTTAGGTAAGACCTAAAATTTTCACAACTTTGAATGTTCTAGGCATGTTTTGGTGTAAAATTTTTTACCATAATTTCAATGATTCAGTCAGTGGTTTCAGTCATTAATTGTTCCTGTGCATAGTAAAGTAATTTACATAATACAGGTAGGATTTATATCAGTTAACTTTATTTTATTAGAATTGATACTTCAATATAGTGTTTTGTTACAAAATCCACCGCTAGATGTCGGCGTTTATTTCTCGCTGACAGTACTTCGTCCTCTTATAACTAAAGACATGAGAATTATCGATTGCAATATCAAAAACCGACTACACGAATCCTTAAAATTGACTCGTTCTGTAACGGTACACAAAAAAAAATTGCAAGATTGACTCTTACCTGTATCCTGTCCTCGGGCAAATCCGTTTTCAGGCTGAGCATCTCCCTGGCGTAGACGTCGGGGTAGTGGGCGTCCTTGAAGGCTTTCTCCAATTCCTCCAGTTGATAGCTCGTAAAAATCGTCCTGCCACACAACCCACCAAGGGTAGTTAAATATGTAACACAGGGTTCGTAGCCTAACTACCTAGCCACGGCCCTAACTTTGCGCTTCTCTAGGAATTGCAATATTCATCGGGACGGGACGGTCGCCTAACGGAAGGGTTGAGGAATATTTGATCGAGGGGCAGTTGCCCGAGTCGCTTTGTTTGCTTTGCAATACCGAGTTTGCTTTTCGATTACTTGTGGCGTTCTCCAGGCTTTCATAATTAATTAGAAAGGTAGGTACTTTTTTTCAGAAAATGTAAGAATTGAGATAAATAACACTATGAATAATTTTGAAAGGATTCGACCTTGAAAAATAACAGGAAATGGAAAAGGGTTCGATTTTTGTGAACTAATCATAGGTACAGTTGATAATCGTAAAAATAGCTAAGCCTTAACTACCACGTACTCACTATTTATCTTATTTATGTGACTTATTATCAGAATAAATAGTTACCTATGGCGCCTCTTCTTCTTCTTCTTTTTATTAAAACCACCTAAACCGTCCGCCACTGAAAAGTCTTTGGAATTATCTAACTGCCCTGAAACAAAAGAAAGTATATTTAATTTAATCTAATTTTGCCCTCGCGGAAGAACTTAGTAGTAGTGAATCGTTAAATTCTCTTAATTCTTGGAAACAAATTCATCAAAATCGTAAATGTTAGTCAACTTCTGCCAGTTAGCTGTCAAAGGTCAGTTTTAAGTCAGAATTAGACAGTTAGCATTAGTGAAGATATGGTCGTACGAAATAAGAGGTGTCAATATACTATGTGGCGCAAATAAGTATAAGGCGAAATAAGCTACCGGGTGACTCAAAGAAGAGTGGAAGGAAATAACTTAAAACTAACTAGAAGTTAGAGAATGCAGATTTGTTATCAAACGTGATTTAATAATTTCCAAATTATTTTATTTAAATAAAATCATAAATATAATAACCGTTTTGCAATTAAAAATAATAAAAATAGAAATAAAATAATATTTTAAATAAAGAGAGATAATAAATAAAAAATAAGAACTACAAATTAAAGAAAAATGTTTCATCCACAATCATCACCATATAATCGGACTTTTATCCACACATATGAACCGTATAAAGTGATACTTTATCCACTAGTGGAATAAAGTAACTTAATTTCACTAGTGGAATAATGAAAAAAATAATAAACCTATAATAAATCAAATTTAATTTATTTACTTATTAACATTAACGTTTACATTTATAGTAATAGACATTTTGTTTTTTGTTTTATCACATTTAATTTCCTTTCCGGTAATAACAACCCTTGTAGCGTTGTTGCTATCATTTTCGGAACGCATAACATCTGCCGAAGTTTGTGAAGACTTTTCACAAGTTACGGATGTCTCTTCTTGTAAGGAACAGCTATATTTTCCTTGGATTTTCCTTGCAATATCAAGTTTGTTAGATATAGACTCCTCAACATAACTTTCTGTTAGCTCTTCCATCCACCATGCCGTTTGATGGTTGTAAAATCAGAACCTTTATTTGCCAATAAAACTGGTAAAGTGCGCCTCATACAATTGCCAGTATATGTTTCTGGATTTACGATATTCAGAAATGAAGCAACTATTGAGAGTACATTCGTCAATGTGTTGATTCCAACAGGCTGAGTACATTTTTGCTTGACGTATTTTAAAGAGAATATGTCTTGTATTAGGTGAATTGGGCGCAGAGAAATATATTTTCTGCATATTTCAACAGCATTCACGCAAAATCCTTCTATAATTGTAAATTTTCTTGAAATGCGCGTCTTAGTGTCAGGTATTGAAACAAGTAGGTAACTGCCAACGTCCTGTACGTCACTAATTTTCAAATTTGTCTATTCGCAGGCACCAGAGACCCCCATTATTAGTGCAACCTAAAATAATTCAAAGTTCACTATATACCTAACAACATTTAAAAGGTAAAGAGATATTACCTTAATCATTAAATATTTTTTATCGGAAGCCCCAGTCAAAAATTCTTCAATATGTGCTCTTTCCAATTCTGCAATTTTTTTGCTTTGTATCCTCTCGAATAATTCTTCAAATTAGCAGTAAGCTTGTTATATTTTCCAATATATATTTTTGTAGACCTTGATAGTAATTTAAAAAATACGATAGCATGACTTCATTTATTGTTATTACTGTGCGTTTTACCTCCCATTCGTTAAATTTAGCGAACACTTTTTGGTAATGTTCCCTGGATTTCGCTGGCAATAAATGGAAAATTGCTTCTTGAGCTTCTTAAAAACAGCCACAGGAACACAATTACTTTGTTGCATTTTTACCAAATTCAGATAGAACTGTTTATTAAACAATTGATAGTAAACATCATACTATAGCAACCAGTGGGTATAACAAAACCTACCACGTTTCATTGAGTACTAGTAAGAAATATCAAGTCGTGCGAATATTTTTTTTATTAAATTCCAATAATTCTGACTCCATAATATGATTACAATAAATAGCTATTATCCAGTTTTCTTTCATTCAAGAGAACTATCCCATAATTCCCATTACGGCGCAGAAATTTTACCACTACGAACACTGTCAAACTAACATTCATGGGGGCCCCTTCGTGACACGTTTGTCCGAGCCCGAGTTTATTATTAATTATTTGCTGATGTGTAAAGGGTGAAAGCAAAGCAGCCCGGGCAATCAACGCCTGTGTCCTCCATAAATTGTGCTAATGGCCCAATGGTATTTCATAAGTCACGACAGGCCCTCGTCTGACAAACAGCTAGCCGTACCCTTATCTACAAACTGAGGTTAAATTACTTGGCTGCATAGCCAAATAGTTCCGAGGCATAAATTAACTATTGGGGTTGGGGAGGACCTTGAAACAAACCGAGTTTATCAGTAATAACCCTTTTGGAAGTGCCTAATTGTGTCACTTGGCCTAAAAATATCCCGTAACGGTTCTTAAAAATATATATTACATATTGGATAAAACCACTGAAGTTTTAATAAAACAGCGCCACAAAACAGTGGACCAGTGTATCTTATAGTACTTTGCTAAATCAAATCTCAGAATTTCGGGATCAATTCGTGTTTTGACCGTAACATCAAGACTCCTCTAGATAGAAGTCAGTGATTAGAAAAACATTCGAATTCATGATTTCATTGCACCATAATCCCATAAACCTGTAGCTTTATAACCCAGTGTGTAACCATGGAATCACGATAAAACTGATCTAAATATTTTCTTATGTTATTTCATCCATGAGGTTAGAAATAATAAATGAATCGTCGACATATCTGAGGCAACATTTCGGCTTTGCTACTTTACTAAATTCAAGAACTTCTTCATTAAGCTATTATCTTGATCTTATCTTTTCTTCTGAGTAGATGATGTAGTTCAAGAGTTCTGGTTTACAGATGAAGTATGCTCAATAGACTAAGGCGTTGACTATACCTTGTTTTTGGACCGGATTGTGGTAAGACACAACATTCGACATTTGTATCTGCTGTAAACGCTGTTTCCTAGAGTACCATCCAAATTCCTCTTGACTAGGACATCTATAATAGGGTTCCATTGTCTTACAATTACTTGGTAAAGCTGATCTAGTGATGAATTCCATTCGCGTAATCTAGAAGTACTTATATGCTGCATTCATGAAGGCAGATGTTAAATGTTTGTCAACATATCTGAAGCTATACAAATCAGTCTTAAAGTTGTTGATTCTAGGCCTTTTTCTCTCATGTTTCCATGTCGATATTTGCTGAAGACAAAGGCAAATCCACAGTTGCTTTTGTTTTCCCATAAAAATTATACTTAAGGGGAAAAAAGTTCATTTGGTTCATTTGGCGTCTACTTTGATGTAGTAAAGAAGTATTAGTATGACTACGACTAAAATTTTATGAGTGAAACTATTGCAACAGAAGTGAGTGAATTTACTCAAATCTAAGTTTCTGCTATCAAGTGAGTGACTTTTGACTCTGTTCAAAGTATATAAAACCAATTAAGAGTTGACTTTTCTCTAAATTTAACTATTATTGAGTAATTTTTTACTCAGACCTGGTTTATATTTTCATTAAATTTTAATTTAAATATTGTATTAAAGTCATAAATTACCAAGCTACCACAGTGGTTTCTACACCCACGAGATGACCTAATGGGGACGATGGGAATAGACAAAGACAACGCACGACAACCATAGAATGGGGTAAGTTAATAATGAGGACATTTACTCCGATTTAGGTACAATATTGAGTAAAATTGAGTGAAATTTGAGTGACATTTTTTACTGAAGACCATATTTTGAATACCGTTTAAGACCTGGTTAAACGCATTTGAATGTACAATAACGTCACATGTCTCATTGGTTAAGTGGTTAGTTAACAAAAAATTAACCGGTAAATATTTCTGCTGCGCCTAGAAGGAACTTCCGAACGCCCCCGTACGGGATTTAGGAACAAAAAGTCCCCCGATTACGTTAAAGTGTAATTAACACGCCACGACCAGGCAACGCCTCAACTACCTGTTTTCTTCTTTTTCTCCCATATCGTATTTCCAGAACAATCAATGTCTGTAAACAAAAGGACACAAGTGAGATTAAAAGCATGGTGTGAAAATGTGAATGACGGCGAGGTGTGAACGCGTAGGCAAGAGCCCCACCTTCTCATACGCCTATTAAGCTCATATCTGCACTCTCTCCGCATGGCCTCGAAGGGGTTAACCAAGGTGTGAAAACATCAACATCATGGTCGTCGCGTTCCCATTGTGCCCTATCGGGTTTCAAATGCGTTCGTCTCCCGGAATCATTTCTCCTTTTATTCCTCGTCCTGTCGCCCTAATAGCCAGATATGGCACTTGGTTTTCTCACATTCGAAGATACGTAGATGCAAATCAGTGGCTCTTGAGCTATTCGTACATTGTCTCGTCATTAGCATTAATTGAATACGGCCACTCTGAATTCAAAAGGAGAGCAAATTTCATTTTTACTGCAATCGGATCCCAAAATAATAGGCAGTGATTTCATCTTTAATCCGGTTCACTTTCCTGTGCTTCATTCTTCCAGAACAGTCGATATTGCACAGTTTTGGGATATTCTTCTGCTGCGTTTGGCAGAGAACCTCTGCTGTGGCAAATTCTAGACTTTCATTGGTGTTTGGTGTGTGACGTCAATTGGGTTGCGTTTATTCAGTTGTAACAAAAGCCGGGATGCGTAGTAATTTATTTGTTAGTTCTTGGAACGGATGGGCCAAAAAGTAAAATATTTCAGTCAACACTAATTTTATCGAAAGGTTAAGAGTCTTCAAGTAGGTTTAGCGTCGCCACAAGGTCGTCCTTCGGAGAAGGCCTCATGAAATTTAGCAATATCACAAGTTCACTGAGACCGTCGGGGCCATGTGTTGAGCATCTGGTATAAAGAGAAAAATCGATATTACTAAAAACGCGCGAAATGCATTCGAAAGAACACGTAGGAATTCCAAGATATTTAAAGTTGTTAGAATGTTGTCAGGTAAGTAATAATAGGTCAAATAGCTGTTTTTTTGGCGGATTTTCCAAGCTATAAGGATGGATTAAATGAGATTGACT